TTTTGAATAAACAAAATTATTTATTATTTACGAATAACAAGAAAAACCATTTATTCATTTGTTAAAATATAAACTGATATATCTTCTGTATTAATTTTTTGTCGTTATTGTCTTCATATTCTTTCAATTCTTCAAAATTATACGGTTGCCCGGGTTAAGCTATTTTTTTTCAGATTAATTTTAATTTTTTTTATGTAGGTCATTGTCTAACTAAACGAAATAAATCACAAATTCAAAGATTGAAAAAATCAACAAATTTTCATCAAAATTTCACATTCAGAATTTGTAGAAATTTTTTGGGTAAACATTTTTGAATGCCATTCATTCATTAAAAGGTGCAAGCTTGAAATGGAAAAAATGCCGTTGATCTTTGCCTGTTTTTTGTTGACGGTGTGGCGCACCTTCTTCCATATAAGGAACTCTGGCATTTAAATTTATATGGAAGAAAATGCGCAACACCGTTGTTGACTTTTTTCATCAATGAGCTATACTTTCATAAAAAAAAAATTTAAAATTATAAACTCACTGTAGTAGACAAAAAATAGCTTATGTTTGGTTGAAGGAAAACGGGAGGTAATGTATTTACGGAAATGCTGAAAAATACAATTAAGCTAAAAAAGCTACAGTTTTTGTCGTTAATTTAGTACAATTTGAAAATCTCAAATATCAACACTGATTGATACGTGTGTGGCGCGGTTTGCAAACCAAACAAAAAATGTTTTCAACTTTCGATCGGTTGCGTTATTACAAATTTAAGTACGCTGTTTTTGATTGCAGAAATTACCTAAAAATTCTAATTTTAGGTTTTACCGTATGTCTAAAGATGAATTGCAATTACGGTAGCGAAATTTTGCCAATGTTATGAACGCTTTTTATTTAAAAATGCGCGAGTGCGTTCTGCTCACTTTCAAGAATAAAATCACCAGCAAATTTCAATAAGCATTCGATTTACATTTCATTTGTCACTATTGTACGAATATTATTATGTTAATCCAGTTTCACGTGAAGTTATAACATTTTATGTTGTTATAATAAGCTTTGCCACGATTTTATATCAAAAATGCCCATTTGATAAGGATTCCTAAAATATGCTATACGGAAACTATATTTTCTGTGTTTTGTGTACTCTCCTTCTTCGTAAAATATTTCAGCCAATCAGAACTCGCTTCGCAACTACGTCATTGGAGGAAAACAAATTTTTGACTGCACCATGTCGTAACCTTCTATTCCATGAACCTTGGGTTGCGTGTGTGTGTGGCGATGTTGACGATTTTTGTCATTTCTTTTGAGAATTTGAAGGATGCACATGAGCGAAAAAATGGCAAGGTTAAGAAAATATTTATTAAGGAACTAATAGAAAGGTTAAAATAGATTTTAACATACAATTGAATAGTATTTAATAGAGTTGTTGTTCTCTTTGCGCACAAATAAACACCATACATGGCAAATTATCTCTCCGCGTTTCGTGTTAACTCGGCGGCGAACAACATCCCTGCAAACTGGAGGTTTACGCCGATAGATATTGCGGCGGCGACACCAGCGTCTCAAACAGTGCCGGCGCATCTGGCCATTAGCCACATACCAAAGCACGTAGGAAACCAATTCTTGTTAAACTGTAACGCAAATATTATTAAAAAGGCGCCTGATAAATATTTGGAATCGGTGCATATGCTTGTTTATTGAAGTACTTTAATATAAAAAAATAATTGATTGGCCAGTCAGCTAATAAAAAAATTAAATTGAATAACCCCACGGCCATTATAGTGTTTCCAAATAGTCACTACGATAATCACTTCACTTTTCTTCCCAAATCACTCCGAAAGACTTCACTCGAAAATTAGCAAATGACAGCATTGCTACCAAATAAAAGGGTCATTGCATACAATATTTACACCGCAATATTTTCATTGGTGTGAAATATTTTTTTTTACTTTAAAGAAAAAAAGAAGACACCTGTTTTTTTATTTCGTCATGATATTCGAAAATATCGAAAAATAATCTCCGAAATTTCGAACTCACAAAAAATTGTAGTTTTTAAATTTTTTGCAGTTAATAAACTGTTTGCCGGAGAAAATCATTTAAGCAATCAAAATGTGCGTAATTACCTCGGTTTTCCATTACAGTGAGAGATAGATTTAAATAAATAACTTTTTGCATTTTTTAATATTTTTTTATATTTTTTGTATATATTTTTTTATTAATTATGCATTATGCCTTGAGGGCACCTGCATATATAGAGTGACTTTCCGTTCTAAAGGAATTCTGGCTGACTCTGAAGTTTCTCCCCAGCAGAAAGCTTTCCAGAATTGCATACGTATTTGCAGGGAGTGAAACTTTTAGTTTGTATATAAAGCCATCATGCCAGACTTTGTCAAAAGCTCGAGAGATGTCCAAGAATACACCGGTGCAGTATTACTTCCCTTCGAAGGCTTTTTTAATACAAGAAAAAATTCTATGGGCTCATTCCATCTCAAATCACCCAGGCCGGGGGAAAGTGAATTTAAGTTTGCGATAAAACTCACAGGGATTGTTCCTTGAACAATTTAAGGAGACACGTATTTTTTCTTTTTGATCAGAAATGCGAATTTTTCGAATAATGAATTTTTTTCTTTTTGAGTACGAACGCTTCTTTTTTCCTCTCTTAATAGCAACTTTTGATGAAATCGTTTATAACTGCCGCAAAAAAGCAAGGATTTTAAAGATTTTTTTTTTAAATTGCAGATATTGATCTACTGAATCGATCTAGTGAACTAAAAATCAGTAATTGTTTATTAATAATTAATTATTGTTTATAAACAAAAAAATTATTTTTTTTTCAAATTGAGTTTTTTCAAATTGCCACATCTTTTTTTTCTCTCAAACTTTTTTGTCTATTAGGGAATAGTATAAACTATTTTCAGTACGAGTAGCAATATGCTAAAATTCGTCGTTTTCGAGTTATGATTTTTTTTCTGAAAATGCACTTATATGATGCTAGCAGATTTTCGTGCCAGTTGA